TTTGGGGCCGTTGGAGAAGTAACAGGAAGAAGAGGAACATGTGACCAGGAAGTCTGAGGCAGCAATGACTGTGAGGGAGGGTACAGAGTGAATAAAAGGAAGATGTTGGCTCTGTTCAAGGAGAAGAGCTTGATGGGATGAGTGAGAGTCAGTCAGTCATGGACTGAGCTTTTTGGAGAAAGGCTTTTGAGAGTTTGATGGGAAGAGTGTGTGAGGTACAGAGATGGAAAGAAGGAAGCTTTTGCTTTGAGCTTATTGTCTGTGATAATCTGACCTAGTGTCATTCTTGGAGAGCTAATTCAGCTCAACTTTGCTACAACTCCGATTATTGGCAAAGAGGCGTTTCACTTTTTAACCCGCCTTGTCTGGGTTTCGTTTTGATTATTGTTCTTTTCTCATCTGTGTGAAATAAAACCTAGTTCCTCAGATTCGTGGAACGAAAAAAGGATTTACGAGTGGGGTCCCCTCCTGTCGGTAACCGAGCAAAGGTAAGATGCTAGCTGTAAATGCCATCCCTAGGTGTCATTGATATAAGTGTTTCCTCCATCCTAGGCTACAGGTAAAGTCAGGTGTCTCCTCAGCATAAAAGGAACAGCTGGCAAGAGTCTTAACCTGAAGTGTACATAAGCTTCAATGACTGGAAGGGTGTGCAGGTGTGTTTACGCCTCCTCTTTGTGTGCTTGAACTAATTTAGGTCAGAATTAGAAGCTCTGGGTAATGTGGTGATTGCTAATCAACTCTCTACAGAGTAAAAGTGTTTGTTGGTAAACTGGCACGCCACGCCCACTACACCGATTACGAGCCAAACCCTGAGATATTAGTAAAATCTAGAAGAGTGGAGCTAGCCCGGTAATCTGGCTTGTAACAGGGACCGTGGAGGACAGACACCTGCAGGAGCAGCAAACAGTTAACGAGCGCGGCTTCAATTACCATTAAAAGCAAGTTATGTCAGAGATAAATGGAAGTGTGCGACAGTGCAGAGACTTCCCCTATATCCCCTTCATGCTGCCATCACCTAATGTTTTATTGATTGTAAAAAGGAAACAACTGTATCACTTACCGCCATGGTCTGACCACTTATAAACGACCTATGGCTCCCTGATGCCGCCACGGCGTTGGGGCAACTTGATGGCACTGTTTGTAAAAATGGCTAGTGTGAAAATGGAGGATGCTTCAAAAGTTGGAGCAGTGGCCGGTGGCAGAGACTGGATCTAAAATGTTGCCAGATGGTTGTTGAGGGATTTTTGTGAACAGGCTGCTCCCTGACCAAGCCTACCACTAGCTGTACGAGAAGTTATTGTCCATTTATGTTAATCAAGGTGAACGGTTGAACTTATGACACTGATCTGAGGCCATATCGCCCAGCCCTGCAACATCAACATGTAAACAGCTGAGTTTTAGCTTCATCCACATTTGCTGTGGTAGTGTTCCTGAATCAGTGTACCGTAAACAGTTCAGCAGGCAACGATCGACTCAGCAAAACTACATACTGAACAAACTCAACAAAATCGGCATCTTTTTCTATAATTTTTGTTTATCTGAAACAGAAATTAAATAATACAGATCTACCAATAAAGCCCAAGAATAATTTGTACGATACCGGTTTACATTCATAAAAGGGAGATCTTTTTATTCCAGTGACTGGGCTGCTTTCATCATGACCTCCACGTTTATGTCATAGTTTCACAAGAGAATTTATTTTGTTTGTTTCAGTTCCTAATTAGTCCAATGCCTCCCTCTAATGCAGTAATTACTACCTGCACACCATCAAGCACCTGTCGGTGTAACTGTGGTAACTATAGCACAAGTCTCACCCAGAGTACTGCAGAGCACCCCTCTAAAGGCAGTACAAGAGACAAGAGAAAACCAGTGACTGCTTCAAATGCATTTTAATTTAAGCTTGGTGCTGTAGTTACTTTTCCTACCATGTTCTAGAGACACAATACCCGTAAGAATAAACTTTCAGCAGGATCAAAGCAATTGGCAGGGCCCACGTTTTTCCATTTTGGTGCTACCTCGATGATTGACTTCCCTAGCAATAATAAATTCACCACTACAGTGCATTCGGTCGTGACTGATTAGTGTGTGTGTGTGTGTGTGTGTGTGTGTGTGTGTGTGTGTGTGTGTGTGTGTGTGTGTGTGTGTGTGTGTGTGTGTGTGTGTGTGTGTGTGTGGACATTTTACAAGGCAACTGACAAACACAGTATAAGACAAAGTAGATGATGTGCAAACACGGAGCCATAAGCTCAGAGTGGTCAGTAGTGAAACTGGCTCCATGTTCTGGTGCACACGTCTGAGGGTTGAGAGCAGCGCCTGACAGAGTTGATTCTTTTCTTATGTTGTGCAACCAGTCAGGTGCAATCAAACAAAGTTTATACCGTTAGGCTGTAAAGGTGGAAAGCGAGGGCACACAGTTTGTCAGGAGACAGACTGCACTCCACATTTATAACCGAACGGTAAAAACCCGAGACAAAAGACCGCTGGCTCCCATTTGGGAGCTGGCATGGAACAAAGAACTGGTTTGTTGGGCATCAGTAGGAATAAATAAGAATATGTAAGGGAGCCAAAAGCAGGGGTTTGTATACCCCAGTCTTTAGTCCATGTTATTTCTAAGTGTGGTTCCCGGCTGTGAACACAGTAGTCACACTGGGATGTGAACCCAAACAACCGGAGAGGTGGCCAGCTCTATTCTCCTCTCCTCTAAAGGCCACAGTTCTCACTCTGTCTTGGCTGGTTAAATAAGAGCTGAATTAAACCTAAATGTGTGCGGTGAGAAACACACCACACAAATGTGTGAATTTTCTTCTTTGACAGAACTCCACAGACCCATCCTTGAGGGCATTAGTCCATCTGAGTGCAGTTAGATGAGTTTAAGACGAAGTCCTGCTGAGCGGGCCTCTCAGGCTGCGTGTGAAGTCTATGCTGTCCCATATTAATTAAGAGGAACAACTCTACCCTCGTCAGTGAAGCACCTCTCTGACTGGTAAGGGTTGTGAGGGCTATTTGCATTAATATAAGTGTTTCAGAAAAAGTGCTCTGAAGACAGTGCGTGGTTAAACTCCTCATAAACGCCACTGCGGATGTTAGCCCTGGCAATCCATTTGTTCACTTGCCAGTTTCTCTCTGCAGCTTGTTGGGAGATGTTCACCTTGAACTCCAAAGGAAAGGGCTTATTCAAAGTGACTCTTTGATTGTTCAGTCCTAATTTCAAAAGACCAAACGGTTCCAGACACAACCAGATCGTAGTGCTCTACATGTTTCTGCAACAGCACGCCAGCACATGCCCTTTTAACGGCCACCACCTACTCAAACATACTACACTGGGAATAATCACAACAGTTTCCAAAGGTTTATTTTAGGCTACCTGGTGTTCATGTGTCACTCAAAGGTTTCCACCTTTTTGTATGCAAAAGGGTTACCGGGCTGTTTGTGGCTCTCGTTGAACCCGCTAAACATCTTCAGACACTGGAACTTCACAGCTGCGAGAGCAAAGTGAACAACCTCAGGCTCCATGGAGACAAGACTCCAGGGAAAGTTTAAAATACACCACCGCTCCCTATCCAACACCAAAGACCTTTTGGATTTGCACTCCAGTCTTAGAAAACCTCTAAACAAGCGAGCAGACCTTACAGCGTAAGTAACACAGTGATATTCAGCTCATCCTGACTGGTGTCACCTGCAGGTCTAACAAATGCTTCTTTTGTTGGAGCCCAAAAAGCTCAATAGCTGCAACTTTTTATTTATAGCGCTATTATGCTTTTCTCAACATGCATGAGGACATTCATGATCTTTTCACGATTTCTAAAAAAAAAAGTGCACACTTTTATAAGACAGAACAAAAGGAGAACAACTCAAAACCCCAAGAGTGGTATTGTTCTGTGTCTGTCACTCTGAAATTGTGGTACCAATGGCAGTAAACAGATGGAGCTTTGGTAACAGTCTAAGTAGATTCATTACTTACTCCTGAGTTTCCTCCAGTAACACCAGTAGCAGCTATCAAACAGGAAGAGAACACATATCTGTCCCCATCAATCTGCCCCTGTATGTGTAGCAGTCACATTTCTAGTCACTGGTGTTGTCTAGAGTTGTTGGCGTTTGGCCAATCATGGCATTCCACTGAAATGTTTTTTCAATTGCCCAAATTAAAATCAGATTGTTTTGGTTTAAAGAGTTGGTTTTGGCAGTGGCGGATTCAGCGATTTGGGGGCCCAAGGCGAACACAGACATGGGGCCCCTTACACTAAATTTTCGACAGTCTTATCTTTAACTGGATTTGTGAAACTCTCCCCTCTTCTGACATGAGTTACTTTCCTTTTTTATTAGTCCTCCTCTTTTTTCCTGTCTTTCTCTCCCTTTGAGTGCCTTCACTATTTGCGCAGCTTTCTTCTTCCTGTCAGTGCCCCTGTGCTTTTGCCTTTCTTTTTTTTCTATTTTCCATTTTGGTCTATGTTTTCCTCCCTTTAAACATTTTCCATAGTCTTTCCTTTCTGCTTCCTTTTGATGTCTACATTGAAAAACGACGTCACTTTCAGAAGTGAAAATAAAAGCTTTTTTAAAGCAAGCTGCTTCTTTCTCTTATTGGAGCCACTAGGATAACTCCATTTCATGCTTCATGTTTTGGCTACTGCTTCGAGTTTGTGACAAACGCTCCCGCCTCTTTTCTTCTTATTTGTGGTCTTATGGCACTTGGCAAACAACAATTTGGTGCATTACCGCCACCAACTGGATTGGGCTGGAATGACTACCAATCACTTCCTGTCTGTGCATCGGACTTCTTAAAGAAATAGTCCATTGTGGCATTAAAAAAGGGGTGGCAGCAGTCAGAGCTGGGGGACCCCCCAACATAAGGGGGCCCCAGGCGGCCCCTGACCTATGCCTAATTGTAAAACCGCCACTGGGTTTTGGTATACTCATTCATCCCTTTTATTCTTTTACCCAACTAATCAAAGTTTAAGGAAAGAGAGATGAGTGTGGAGCTGTCATGTTGGTGTAATATTCACCCAGTAAGGCCATGAAGCAGATACAGATGGCAAACAGCGAGCTGAAGCTCAGGCCCACATCCTCCCTGTACACAGCCAGCGCCGTCTCGCAGTGCCGTCCTCTGTAGCCCTCGGGGCAGTGACACGTGAACTTGGAGGGCGTCTGGGCTACACAGGTACCACGGTGACAAGGCCGCGTCGCACACAGGGTGTACACGCAGAACTTTCTGGTCCCATTCACACGGATCATGTGCCCAGGAGGACATCTGCAGAAACGAGAAACGGTGACATTTATTAAAATCAAGAGACAAATAAAATACATTTAAAGGGCAATCAGCGAAACTATAAGGATGTTAGACAGAATTGGTCTACTGTAACAAAAAAACACTTAAAGGAAAGGTGTCACTGCTGTACCCATTTGGAAAAAGTTATTTATCAGCTTGGTTGTAATGGATCTAGTAACTCCTGCCAACAGAGACAACATAAAGATGAACAGGAGTTTCTATCAGGAGTCAGAAGAAGTGTGTAGTGAAGCAGCATGAACAAAGGACCTTCATTATGACACTCTGTAGCATGGACGTAATTTTGGGGGGGGGAGACATGTCCCCCCCCACTTTTTTCCAAAGTCAAGTTTTGACCCCTGCACTTTTTACCATCCAAAAACAATATTACGCAATATTAAATCGACACTGGTTGAGCTCTAGGACCAAGCGGAAAGCAACTGTTTGTGTTGAAGCCTGTTTCCCATTAGAACATACTGTAAAGACACCCCCCACCCCCGTGTCCCCCCACTTCTAAAGTGAAAATTACGTCCTTGCTCTGGAGTGACTTCATGATGAGCCTTACTAGTTACTTCATGATGAGCCTTACTAGTTACCATTATGGTAGTTTTCTAGGAGCACTACTCAGAGTAACTCGGACTGGTGCATCTCACCCCAACCACAGTTTACAAGGGCACGGTTTGGTATTTTCCCCCAATTACTCCCCTATTTTTAGTTCCTGCTCCATTGAGGTACCTGGCAAGGCTGAGTCGGGCGGCATCGTGATTCTGTCCATTGATTGGCTAGGGGGTTGAGTCACTGGTTGCTCTGGTGTTTTCTGCCTTCTGTTTCACTGCCTGCAGCCCTTTCCTGGTTCAGTCTGACAAAAGTCATGAAGCTGAGCAAAATGCCCATCAACACCACCATTTCTGTGCCGAGTTGTGTTTCTGTGCATCATACATGCTACCTTACACTGTTTACTGATCACCTCATGCTATTTTAAGTCATGAGTAAATATTGCACAAATTAGTTCAGTCATGGGATCAAAACTACACTGAGATGGGCTGACTCACACCACGCTGTACAGAGCTGTTTCAAGCTGGGTAGTGCTCCTGGAAACTCGCTTTATGGAACCTTTTAAATCCATCCTGAGGTAAAGATAATTGGACTTAATGACATTGGCTTAGTTTTAACTTTAACACATTCCATTACATCAAAATTAATTTTTGCATGGATGATTTTCAGTCTCCTGGAGCCACGGTAGAAGTTACCATTGTGTCACTAAACACACAGCTCTACTACAGTTGTTGAGCAGAGAAAAGTGAGACTGCCCGCCGGGCCGTGTTGCAGGAACTCACATTGTTCAATACAGCCGCATATTTATTTATTTATTAACATATCTTTATCAGGAGGATTAACCCCTTGAGACAAAACACCTCGTTTTCAAGGGGGTCCTCCATTATTTCAGATCAACAATGAACAAAAAAGCAAATCGGAGATCACAGACACAGGCAGCATTACAACCTCAAAATCTGGATATACTGCTACACCACAGTCAGTGGAGCTTATCAAGCCGTGCAGCGAGCTGCTCTCGGCTTCTCAGACCACGCCATGATTCACCTCATCCCCTCATATAGGCAGAGGCTGAAGCTCTCCAAGCCTGCATTGAGGACTACTAAAAAGTGGACCTGCGAGGCTGTGGAGGAGCTTCGTGTGTGTCTGGACACAACAGACTGGAACATGTTTGGATCTGCCACAGACAACTTGGATGAATATACAGACACTGTGACGTCATACATAAAATTCTGTGAGGACAGCATTATTCCAACAAAGACCAGGGTCACTTTTAACGATAAGCCCTGGTTCACACCCAAACTGAGACAGCTGAGGAGGGAGAAAGAAGCAGCTCACAGAGCCAAGGACAGAGAAAGCTACAAGGGCGCTAAGTACCAGTTCTCAAAAGACTTGAAAAAGGTGATCCCAGTACAATATGCGTCTAAAGGAGCAGTTCTCTGACAATGACACCTCCTCTGTCTGGAGAGGGCTCAGGCAAATCACCAACTACAAGCCTAGGGCCCAACATGCTGCTGACGACCTACAACTGGCTGAACAACTTAACTCCTTTTATGCAAGGTTCGAAATGCAACACCCATTCCCCACACCCCCTACTGCACAGGTTTCTTCAGCCGCTATGGTGTCACATGCCTCCCCCACCATCTTCACCACTGTGAATAGTACAGTCGCCACTGACCACCCCTCCCCCTCCACTGCCTTCTCAGTGACAGAAGAGGACGTGCTCAGGGTTTTCCATAAGCAAAACCCACGGAAATCCCCGGGCCCAGACGGTGTCTCCCCCGCTACCCTGAGACACTGCGCAGAGGTATTGTCTCCAATCTTCACGGACATGTTTACCATCTCCTTGGAGTCCTGCCACGTTCCACCCTGCTTTAAGCTGTCCACCATTGTCGCTGTCCCTAAAAAACCCCGTGTCACTGGACTGAATGATTACAGGCCTGTGGCGCTGATGTCTGTAGTCATGAAGTCTTTTGAGCGCCTGGTCCTCCCTCATCTCAAGTCCTTCACCTCCCCCCTCCTGGACCCTCTGCAGTTCGCATACAGAGCTAATAGGTCTGTAGACGACGCCATCAACCTGGCCCTCCACTTCATCCTGCAGCACCTGGACTCCCCGGGAACCTACGCTAGGATCCTGTTTGTGGACTTCAGCTCTGCGTTCAACAACATCCTCCCTGCTCTGCTCCAGGACAAGCTCTCCATGCTCAACGTACCCAACTCCACCTGCAGGTGGATCACGGACTTCCTGACAGACCGTAGGCAGTGCGTGCGGCTGGGGAAGAATGTTTCCACCATTCAGACAATTAGCACAGGATCTCCACAGGGCTGTGTACTTTCTCCTCTGCTCTTCTCCCTGTACACAAACTGCTGCACCTCGAGCCATGACTCCGTTAAACTGATCAAGTTTGCAGATGACACCACCCTCATCGGGCTCATCTCTGACGGTGATGAGTCCGCCTACAGGAGGGAGGTGGAACGGCTGGTGTACTGGTGCAGCAGCAACAACCTGGAGCTCAATGCTCAGAAGACAGTGGAGATGATTGTGGACTTCAGGAAAGTCACAGCCCCATCTCTCCCCCTCGTCCTGACGGACACCCCCGTCACCACTGTGGACTCCTTCCGCTTCCTCGGAACCACCGTCACACGTGACCTTAGGTGGGAGCCATCCATCAGCTCCCTGATCAAAAAGGCCCAGCAGAGGATGTACTTTCTGCGGCAGTTGAAAAAGGCCAAGCTGCCGGCCCAGATGATGGTGCAGTTTAACACGGCCATCATTGAGTCCATCCTCACTTCCTCCATCGCTGTGTGGTACGCTGGAGCCACGGTGAGGGACAAACATAGACTGCAGCGCATTGTGCGCTCTGCTGAGAAGGTGATTGGCTGCAGCCTTCCATCTCTCCAGGACCTGTACGTCTCCAGAACTCGGGGGCGTGCAGGTCGGATAGCAGCTGACCCTTCTCACCCGGGTCACAGACTTTTTGAGCCGCTTCCCTCAGGCAGGAGGTTACGGTCCATCCGGACCAGAACCTCCCGCCATAAGAACAGCTTCTTTCCATCTGCCGTTAGACTTGTGAATAGCTTATAAACACACAACCATGCTCGTCTTCTGTACTTGACACAACGTCACGTTATCGGCCATGTTACCATTACCTGCCTTTTTTATAGCTGAATGTTTTATGCTAGTTTTATTATATTTTATTCTACTTATTCTATTTTTGAAATTTATTATTCATGTTATATGTAGCACATTAGTACCGAAACAAGTTCCTAGTTTGTGAACTGCTTGTTCACTGACAATGGCAATAAACCTTTTCTGATTCTGATTCTGATTCTGATATATACTATAGTCAATGATTACAATACACACACGCGCGCGCACACACACACACACACACACACACACACACACACACACACACACACACACAATGGCTCACAATGCTCAAACCCACCCCCCAAGCACAAACCCCACTAAAGACATAAAGTAAAGACAAGCACAGGTCTGAACTAATGAACAAACATGACTGAAGAACTAAAATAAATATAAATAACCAGTGAAAGCAGAAGTCAAGGAAACACAATTAGTAACATTGACAAATGTTCTGAAAATAATCACTACCCTCTCTTTTAACTGTAGGAACAACCAAAAAGATCTGATCATTATGTCGAAGACCGTGAAGTGAGTTGTAATGTACCAAATGTAGCTTAAGATAGATAATAAGGGTAGCTAAAATAAAAGCTTCTGAAACTAAACTGAATCCAGTGAAACTGTCTCCTGGCTGAAGGTGGAAGCTAGGATAACTGCCCATACATCCTAAAGGGACAACAAAGCACAAAACGGCAAAGACTGTCCTATGCCACATCTAAAGAGTGCAGAAAAGAAGCAGTGGTATTTTGATAAATAATGTCAGCATAGTCCAAAGTAGGCAGAAGCCGCTGTCTGACTGTTCTTTTTCTGATCAGAAAGTTAAAACAGTTAACAGAACGATAAAATATGTTTAGCCAAGAATTGAGTTTATGTGTAGTTGCACAAACATGAGTTTTAAAAGTTAGATCATAATCCAGCCAAACACCTAGGTATATATATAAATAAATATATAAAGTGTGCTATTTAAAATATGAGCGACAAGGCTACTTTCAAATATATTCATAATATTAACACCTTTATTGGCAATGTATTTCTGTTTTTCTACACATTAATTAAAGTGATGGTGTGCATTATCCCTGGTGATAGGGGCATTACATACCTAATCAATCAATCAATCAATCAATCAATCAATCAGTCAATCAATTTTATTTGTAGAGCACCTTCCACAACGTTATCAGAAGCCCAAGGTGCTGAACAGCATCATCATAAAAAAAAAACATTCCCAGTACCTGGGCATAAAAGCAAGATAAAAACATAAAATCATAAAATAACAAGCAAGCAATAT